TTTTCCCCGCTTTTTTTTTTTTTTTTTTTTTTTTTAAATATGTATGATTCTTTTAAAGTGTCTCCTTCAAAAGGTGCTTGGAACAATTGGGCAATTTTATAGAAAATTTATGACCTGTTATCACATTCATTCCTGAAAGACATACAGTATTACTGTGTTTACCTGCAGTGTATTATTGATCCACTGGATGTCGATGTGCACTGTGCCAGGAAGAGCCCAGTCCATGGTAAACACAGAGATAAAGCTGGAGTTCAAGTCTGGAAGAATCCAGATTGCCTGTTGCTGTTTTCTTGTAATGTGTATCTCCTGCCTAATGTAGTTCCATATCTCACGACATGAAACAGGATGCAACGCTGTTAGTCATCACTACCGTACCTACTGGTACGAGAAATGAATGTGTATTTAGGAATGATTTGGTTAGAATTCAGAAGTTCCATGGACTATAACAGCATGACCTGAGGTGCCTGATCAAAAAGTTGCTACCAGAGCAAGGCTGGCATATAAGCATACACACTCACACATGCACATAGGAGCTCCGACATCCCGTGAAAATGCTCTATGGTTGCTTTTTAAATGTTTCTGCTCAGTGCCTCTGAACTAACTTCTACTTAATGTCTACTTTCTTAGAAAAAGGCAGAGGTGAATGAAAGCCCAGAGTGCCTAGATATACAAATCCCTAAGATGCACCATATCAAGCTGATGGTAGATTACTCTAAAGACTAAAGCTCCATCCAATTTTCTCACAAGGATAAAACCCAAAAGAGAACTTCTGGCTGTGTTCCCCTTTCCCAACCACAAATTTTAAAGATTCAGGGGGTGTTACTAGGCTATTTTATCTCCCTTAAGAGATTCTTAAATTTTTTGTCTGAGGCTCACCCTATTCTAGAAGCTGGGCAGAAATTCCTCATGAAAAAAAAAAAAAATGGTACACACTGTGCAGAGACCTGCATAAACACTACCATATGTGAACACTCACTGCTAAATATAAGCTCCAAGGCACAGAAGACCACCCTGCTGATCTATACCTATGAGCACAAGCTACTCCAGAGACAAAGAGGATCTCTTACTTGGGTTAGCCCTGCTTGGCAAACACTGCGTGTATACTGAAACACAAACATTTAGTACGTGTATCACCCACAAACGTAGACTTCTGCACTGAAGCGGGGCTGATTAGCAGTACTTTATAGAGAACAGAAGGTTCTCATTAGCCCACTTGGCTCAGTTCATGGGAAACAGCAGAAAAATCAATAAAGCGTTTATACCTGGAGCTTTTCAACAGTCCTGGTTCAATCCTTCTTGTGTGCATGAAGCTTTCAACGGAGGCAATTATGTCCTCAATGGTCACTTCTTCCCATGTACTTTCTTTGTGGTTTAGTGATGTTTCCAGCTATTCTATCTTAGACATTTATGACGAAGGGGAATATACCGTCAATAATCTGATTTTTTCTTAATAGCAATAAAGCAGTGCTACACAAGGATCTCAGATGTAGTGTTCTATAGTCCATTCACCTGTTAACAGTCTCACAGGGCCCTTGCTGTGATAAGGTATGGATCCCCATCTCGGAGTAATTATATATTTCAGAGTATTCATCTGGCCTGGAGTCTAGAGGAAGGCCAAGACCCTGCTCCTCATGCGCAGGATGTGAATCCTTTAACCCTGAAAGACTGACTTTAGACTCTGTTGTCCTTGATGGACACCTGCTGTTGAAGGGAAGTGATTGTTCTGGCTGGATCTTAATAAAAACGTACAGCAAAGCATGAGGAACACCAAACTGCACCTCCAGTTACCTGCAGATAAACCGCTTGGCTCTACCACTAGCGATCCTTGTACTTTGTCCTGCAGTAGGATCTGTGACCTTAACAGGGACCTATTAACCCGCTCACGCAGGTGGGATGCAGCCCGGGGCACCACAGGTGTCGGAGACACTTGTGCAAGGCTGCTAGATGAAACAGCAGCTGAAGGCCACATAGGATAAATCATGAGATCTCAAATACTGCTAGACAGTATCCTCAGGCAGCTGAATCCCACCCCCAGCATCTTACAGTGCTTCTGACATGGAGGAAGGGATTTCTCTCTTTCCTTCAAGGCCCAGCAGAGAACTGTCCCCCAGAGAGTTCAGTGACTCCCTGTGATCCCTGGATTGATCACACTTTGGAGGTGAGTCTTAGACCCCATGCAACCCAATCATGCAAACCGTCCAACCATGCAAACCAATTCATTATGGAGATTAAAAGGACACGATTTCACCCTGATGTGATTGACAGCTGCTGTACTTATGGAGGGATCCATGGTGTATAAATCTTAGTGCCACCTATATTGCTCTTTGCTGACCTTTAGATATGTAAACATAAAGGTAGTGTGTCCTACATAGACAATCTGGGATCACCTAAAAGTACTATGGCTTAATTTTTAAAGTTATTTTCTCTCCTTTTTTTCTTTTTTTTTTTTTCCTCAAGACCTTGCCCCTCTCTCTATTCTGACCTCTCACCCCATGAACTCAGCTTTAATGACAGAAGATCTCTCAAGGTTCCTTCTTGTTCAGGAGACACAATAAACACCCAGATCATTGCGTCTTGCTGGCCAAGCCGTAGACTAGAAAGCTGTGGCTGACCAGGAGTTAAGATCTGAAAGCTCACTCAAGACAGAGGTTTTGATAAAGATTCTCTTTGTCCTTAAAGGTGAAGCCCACAGCTACACAGAAACCCGTACAATTACAAATTACTCCTTCAGCCCCACTGCAGGGATAACCTCAGATGATTTCACCTGCACGATCTCTCCAAAGATTAAAATCAGAATTGCAGAAACCACTCACTTCTATCTTCCACATCCAACACCAACAAGACCTATAAAAAAAAAACCAAACCCAACCAACCAAACAAAGAAATTATTTTCCTTGTTTCCTTAGTGGTTGCAAAACTTTTGGTTTCATCTTTAGCAAGGGGATCAGCTCTTTCTCATAAAAGTCAGTTAATGAGTTTTCAGGGTATATCCTCCACTGAATCTTAAATTTCATTGGATTGATATATTTAGGGCATTTCTTAAGTTTCAGCCTTTAGATTTGCTTTTAGATCCCTTTTCTGGGTTTTGTGCTTGATTGTTCTTGGCTGCCCCTGGTCTCCCCCTGAGTGTGAGAGTGGAAGGGAACATGATGTGTGCTGAGTTTGGGAACCCTGGCTCTTGTCTTGTTGCATCCAGATTTAGTAGCCAGTCCTCAGGCACAGGTAACCAGATGATCAAACATCATCTGCAGAACCTTAAGTTTAGTAATAAAATACTATTTCCTTGAAAAAAGCATTTAGTGCTACAGTACAGGGTGTCAGTGCTACAGCACAGCGTGTCAGGGTGGTCGACCCTGCACACCTGGTTCTTGTGCCAGTGCTATTAGATGACTTTGCTATGGCTTTATATGTACTTTAGAGTATATTTATATAATTCATAGATATCTAACAGCTACTTTAAGGATAGGTCATCCCTTGCTGTCATTAAGGACAGTTTCATTAGGCTGTTTAACAATTCTATATTAACAATTAGTCACCAGTATGAATAATCCTTGGTCCTAATAATATTCATTCCCCTCCTTTCAGGACCTCATATCTTACACTTCCATGGTGGAATCATAGAAACACAGAATCACAGACTGGTTTGCGTCAGAAGGGACCTTAAAGACCATCCAATTCCAACCCTCCTGCCCCGGGCAGGGCCACCTTCCACCAGCCCAGGTTGCCCAAAGCCCCGTCCAACCTGGCCTTGAACCCTTCCAGGGAGAGGGCAGCCACAGCTTCTCTGGGCAGCCTGTGCCAGGGCCTCACCACCCTCATCGTAAAAGATTTCTTTCTTATATCTACTCTTAGTCTACCCTTGTTTAGTACAAAACCATTGTCCTAACGCTACAGGATCCCTGCTTCCTGTAGTCAGTTTGACATATATTTCTAATTACTAATTACCTATTCTAAAGTAATTGCTTGTTTGTTGTCCACAACAATGGTGTGTACAATTTAAAACCATATATATATATACACACACAACCATTTCTCAACTATTTCTTTTTAATAATCACAATGGTGTTGGTGGTATGGGCTAGCATTTCATTCTTTTCTGTTTGGAATGATTTTTTTTTTTTCTATTATACCCAGTAAATTTGATTTCATATGATGCTTTATGTAAGACAGGACAGCTGCAGAGTTGAGACCTACCTAAAACCATGCCATTCACTCAGCTTCTGGCCTTCTACAAGTCCTTGATGTTTGTTTTGTCTCTGAAACTCCCATTGTGCTATAATAAATCTGTGCCCACTGGCAGATGGTAGAACCTGGGCACCATACACGCTTGGAGCATCATAGCAAATGATCCCTTTCAGCTCCATCACAGCAGTTTACTAGCATGAATCTAGATGTAGTCTCAGCCTAACTCTTAAGCCCTGGTACACAGCAGAGTTCATTCTGTCAGGAACAGTGCCAAGTTAAGGCAGCAAAACCACACCTGGATCTGAGATGCATGTCAGGGCTTTCTGTTTCTCTGCCCATCCTTTCCTGGGCTTGGTGAGGTCATGGGGCTCTCAGAGCAGCTGGACCTCCAGATTTCTCATTGGTGGCAGTGACTGATCTCAAATCCAGAGAAGCCCAGCTGATTAACAGGGAAGCTCTTTTGTTACCAGCTAGGGGCTTTATGAGGCTTATGATGCACAGTTGGGAATGTTTTTCAGGAGCAGCTGAAGCCCTCTGGTTGTTTTTTATGTAAATGCAATTTACATTTGTAGAGTGGGTATCCTTGGATGAAAGCTCTGTGTATCCCATTAACCCATGCAACAGCTCCAGCCGTTGTATGGTCTGCTGGGACCACCACATCCCTGCAGTTCTCTACCAACATCCCTCCTTGCCTGATGCTTCTTGATGGCTTTGAGAACGTCTCATGTTTCTGCTTTGTCTGACACAAAATGATGCGAAACTAAAGGCCATTCCTTAGTGAACAAGGCTGCTAACTCCTCTTCTCTGTTTTACAGCCACAACTGGCCAGATGCACTGACCAGGAAACTCAAATCTGTCCTGAAGGACACAAAGAGGACACTGAAAAAAGCAACTTTTAAACAGCTGGGAAGCATGAAGGAGAGCGAAATAAGTATTGAAGAGGATGAAATCTCAGAAGAGCACAGCAAAGAACTAGTAAGATCAGGATGGACACCTTGAAGCCAACCCAGCAGAGGAGCTCACACCCTCCATTTATTTCCCTTCCAGCCAAAAGCAGTATAATTGATGAAGCCTCTTAGATCTTTGAGAGGGTGAACCTGAGCAGGCAGTTTAATCCTGACCATCATCTCTTGTGAAACTGAGCACCAGCCCAGAGCCGTATGTACATTTTTTTTGGCAGGGGTCCACAGGGGAGGAAAGTGATGGTGATGGTGATGATAGCAACAGCTCTTCATCAGCATTCATCACAAGGATGAGCCCAAAGAATATTTTAGCTAGGTCTGCATGGCAGTACAAACATGTCCGGCTGCACTTGGGCCTGGATTCGAACAATAATGCCAAGTACTAAAATGGTTTAACTGTTTTGCATTAAATAGATTTGTTGTTGTTGTTGTAGAAAACTCTGGTTTTGTGAAGATCAGTGCAATTCAAAAGAAAATGCTTTTGACAGCAATGAAAAATATTTTTTTACTCCCCACAAGGGGAAATTTTGAATCAAAATGTTTTGTTCCTGCACGTCAATTTAAGCTGAAACAATTTCTTTTAAATTGACATTTCAGCTGCAAATGCCATTTTAATGTTATTTTCAAACTGAAATGACAGTTTTGAAATGGAACAGTTTGGTATGAATCAATATTTGTTTCCAAATGCCAAAATGTGATTCTGCTCAAAATGTCAAAATATGTCATCTTTGTAATTCCAGATCTAAACTGGAAGAACATTTTGTTTCACTTTATGCACACACACACATATAGCATATCTAAAACATTTTATAGTTTTCATCCCAAAGCAGGATGAAAGCGAAATGCCAAGATATTGGGAAACTGAGATGCAGAGAATGACATTCTGCAGCTCCTTTAGCTGAGTAATGCTAGTAAGATATCAATTTTCTTTCCTGTGAGTGTGGCCGAGGGAATGAAAAGTACATCACTTAAGCAGTGCAAAGCCTAAAACACATCACTCTTTTTCCTTCTCAGTCTCCAAATGGTCTCAAAGGCAGTTGTCTTCAAACTAAGCCTCCCAGTGGGTAAAAATACCTTTCTGCAAAGGGCCAGCCTTTGACCTGTAGGCACTTCTCTCAGAGCACACCTCATCAAAGTCAACTAATTGTTTTGTTGGCCACTTCTTCCAGATTTTTTTTACTCCTGTTCAACATCTGGCTTCTAACAAACTTCTGGGAATTGTTGTTCCCTCTTCTTCAAGGATGAAGAGAACAGCAGACATGGTAATTTAATCAATATTACCACCAGAAGGTGCTCATTGAATACATGGAGACCTCTCTCAAGCTCAGTTTGAACTCTTCTCATCAGAGCAACCTGAGCAAATTTTTTGTCACTCAGATGATAAATAAGTCAACAACCACTCACCAAACCGCCTTTGGTTATTGCAGATAATCTTTACGAAATGAGGCAAGCCAAACTCCACAAAGCTCTAAAGAAGATAGTGTTTTCACAACTACTTCACCGTAGCAAGTATCTGAAAAGTGAAAACGGAAGGGAAATTTGTTAATATCCTTCAATATTAAGATTTTGCTCTGTGGCACCTGGTTTAGTGAGAGAAGCTTTTGCCTATTTACTGGTGAGAGTTGATATTTCAGGTGGGAGAACTTGGCCCTTGAAAGGCATCTGTCAAAAAGCTCAAATGACACTTGAGCTGTCAAAGAGGGCTTTGGAAAGCTTTCACCTTCTGCACTGTGCTCAGGATTGAAGACCTGTGAAAGAGACGTGGGCCAGGCAATTCTGACATAATATACCTCAATATACAGTTCCAGGGAGGGATGTTATCTGGGTTGGTCTCTGCAAATGTGAGTTTAGAGTCAAACATATTCTTGGGTTGGTCTCTGCAAATGTGAGTTTAGAGTCTAATAATTTCTGAATAATTCATGTATTTTCCATTATCTTCCCATGTTAAAAACACTGATCAGTGCTGTTCTGTTACGTACTGGCATGGGTTCAATCAATCTGACTTTTATGTCTTGGCTAAAGAAAATTGCAAGGTGTGGCAAGCAGAAAGAACATCCCCTCTACAGGGGACAGAAGAGCTCTCCCTCTGCTCTTGGTGTGGTATTCCCATGCAAGTGAGTGTTGGAAAGGCCTATGTGTAGTCAAGGCTGGCCTCCAAATGAAGAGAAATACCCAGAGTGATGTGCAAAAGGAGAATCATCTGGCTAAATCTAGCCCTGTAAGGTGCAGCCTGAGACAGTCACCCAGACTGGTCCCCTAACAGTCAGAGAAGGGAAACAGGCACCTCCCAGGGGTGTTCCTTAGGCTCCTACATGTGGATACCTCTCTGTGTGCCGGGTGTCTCAGCTCCTGCTGCAGTTAATGGAGATCAAGCCAGAAAGTCCAAAGAGCCGAATGACTCAGCTGAGCCTCAAACGGGTGCCTACATCTGGCTAGCACAGTCGCCCTTAAACTTCACTGACTGTTGGCAAAGTCTCCGTTCAAGCAATGGGAGCCCTGGTGCGTGCAGAGATACCCAGAGGGAGATATCTGTGACGCAATTCAGCTGCTGAAACACAGGTACTTAATGCCATTTAGGATGTAGAGTATAGAGTTAATTCCATTTAGGATTTTGTAGAGTTTTGTAGAGCACCTACAACATCCAAACAGGGCTGATAAATAAGATACAGGACCAGATCCTTTTGCAGTGAGGCCAGACAGCAGAACCCTAATATCTGAAATAACACCGGACAGGTATGTTTAATGAGATATACCTTTGAAGCTGGATGTTTTAACCCCAAAGAGAATTCCATGCCCAATTATCTGCACCAGAAGGATGAACCGTGCCCTAAAAGTGTTTGCCATCAACTCTAACAGGAGCAGCACTGATCAGCTCAGGTGGAGAAACCTACACCACAGATGAATAAAGTCAAGTTGGATGAACCTCCCTCTGACATAGCTATCATCACTGGTTCAGAGGAGGTGCTGGGCTCCCCGGCCTTTTCCCTGAGTCTGGAAACTCTTCCGCTTGGCTTGTCTAGATGTGCTAAACCTTTCTGAAACACTTGTTCTTCCCAGCGCACAGGCAAAATGGATGTAAAGGAAGAAACATATGAGCAGAAAACAAAATCTGTGAAGCAACTTGCCCCCCGAAAACCTTCCCGTTGATCCATTTAGCTGATAATGTGACAGTGAACGGGAGGGACAGCAGCTTTCTATCTTTGCTATATATCAAATGACACATCTGTAAATGCATGAGGAAAAACCCACCACCAACACCTCTGCAGTCTACCACTATGCACATATTCTCCTTTTCAAAATGTACACATAGGTTCAGATACATATGTACTTCAATTTTGGGGTTCTCAGTTTTTTATTTCATACTTACCCACTAAGAAATAATCTTTTGAGAGTGTGTTTTTGTTAGTCCAAGAAAAGACAATTTTAAGAAAATGCTGGGTAGCCAAAAACTGAATTTTCCAGCTGAAGATGATTTAAACAAGAGGATTTAAATCTGCCTTCTGCACACGGTTTTTGGATTCTTTCTTCAGCCTCTAGTCTTCTAAAATAAACAACATTCTTTGAATTTATTAAAAAAAAAAATAGTAAATCTGTGGGAAAGGGGAGCAGAGAAGCAAAGTTCTAATCACTGTCGACTTTAGTAATCCCAGGATAATTCTTAATTCTCTTTGAAGCCAGTGGTATTTTTTTTCCTCTTAACTTCAACAGGAAGAGGCCAAGGACTCATCCCTGAGTGTGATAACCTCTACTGTTAGAAAGCCATAAATATATTTTTATTTTCCTGACATTGTTCTGTTTAGACAGGTTTAGGTTTACTCACGAGATTTCTTCCCATACTAACTGTGGTTACTGTATCAGGCTCGTTTCTTGTTATTTTGCTCCTAAAACTAGTATTTGGATGTTGCAATGGGAAAGATGGGGGCTGGAAGCAGCAAATGTAAATTTTGTAGCTCCGCAGCAGACTTCTCAGGTGATTGTGGACAAGTCACTTGGTGGATTTCTCAGATAGTGAAGCGCACACTCTAGAAACCACTATCAACAAGAACCTACCATGTGATTGCTGGAGGTTGTACCTCTAACATTATAGGGAGAATTTTAACCGTGCAAACCCGCTGAGAGCTGTAGATGTATTTATGCACAATATACACTGTCTGAATATAGTTCATATTTCATACAGTATTTTTAAGAGTGAATTAAAACCAAATGCCAATAAAGATCCTTGGAGACCTATCCCTCCACCTGGAAGTTTTGTTCTTGTTTGTATATTTACCGTCGGCTTACTCCTCAGCTTACTCTTCAGCTCTCTGTGCAGATAAGGCTCCTATGGAAACACCTGTTCACGTTTTCACTCCATTATTCAATAATTTATCAGCAGGTGTCAAAATACGCAAGCCAGCAGCACAACAGTCAGGCAGAAGAGGTTTGAGGAGATGCAGAAGAACCCAAGGAGGGTATGGAGCAGCTTCAGCACGGATGGGTGTCCAAACAGTTGCAAGGACCTACGTCTGGGAAAGTTTCCCATGACGGGGGATACTAAAGTAGGGAGGGGGGGCAATACCACAGCACATTTCTCATTGGAAAATATCAAGATGCTTCTTCGGGGTTTGGGACTGAAGGTGGGTGAAGGCAGGAGTAGGGCTGAGGGTAAGTCTTCTGCAGCATTACCTCTCTTTGAACTCATGAAACTATGTTGTCTCTGTCCTGACATCCTCATTCGAAGGATCAGCATGTCCGCCTTCCCTGAAGCTCTGGTTATTTACCTTGGCTTTGTAGAGACGTGCCCTTCAGTGGTGGGGTCAGGGACAGCTCCGCGGTCGCTGCAGCAGGAGCCCTCCATCCCATGCAACCCCTCGCCTGCACACCAACAATGGGTTTGTCCCTTTGCTGAAAGCACGGGAGACATCTGTGCAGTTGAGAACGTGGTCTGGCAAGGTCCTATGCACAGGCAGACCCTTACCCCGCTTCACCCACCCGCTCACACACCATAACAGCGGTCATCAGCTGGATGCAAGTCCATGGGCATCACTGGTGGAGGTGGGCTAAGGATTTCCTAATGCTGTAGCCACACATCCTTGCATTGCCCTTCAGTCATGCCAGAAAGTCCCAGTGTGACACCCATCACTGACCCCATCTGTGTTAGAAGTAACTATCCGAATAAAAAAAATAGGTGGGAGAAGGCAGAGGAACTACAGCTCTTCACGCTCAAGCCTGATGAGCTGTAGGTCAGCTCGTGGGGACAGTGCTGTAGGATACAGAGAGCTAGACGTAAGGGGAGGTTGGGTGAGCACACAGAGTTGGACCAGACCTCCCAAAATGCACTGAGAGCCATTGCATTCAGGATGATTTCTGGACCCTCTTCTTCAGCCTCCTGTGGCTGGTGCGTGAGCAGCAGCACGCAGTGCTCCTGGGCCAGTGACTGCTGAGACAGGAAAGTAGATGCAGCTTTTCAGTATTCATCCCACCCCAGGATACTCTCCCAATCTTCTTGCAATGACCACAGGACAGGCTTCCCTGAGCTGATGAAACCAGCTTCGTGTTCTGTGCAGTGCAAGAAGCACCCAACACTTTTCCTTTGATGCTTGTCACTTCACGGCTGGTAGTATTAAATTTCATTTGCCATCTTTTTTCCTCATTCACTAGTTACTCACAGTCCTCCCCAAGCCCAGCTTTATGATATCTGCAGATAGCAGCATCCCTTGGTTCTCCTTCCTTCCCTGACCAAAGTCTCTGAGCACCTCTAAATTCTGCTGAACAGCACAGGACCCAGCAGGGGACTGTGGGGACCGCCCACAGAAGTTGCACAGTGAATCCTGATCATGCAATTCTCCTTGCTTCCCGCCTCCACATCTGTCTTGATCCATGGCATTTGTCCTTCACTTTGTCATCGCTCGGTGCAATCCAGTCTCCTTTCCTGCACAGGACCTGTTTAGGATCTCCAGAAAGTCAAGAAAAATTTTATCAGCCGGTTATCTTTTATTGTCTGATTTCATTGACACATTAAAATTGTTTTGCTCAAAGGAAGTAAATCCTCCTTTTGCCATTATCTCTTCTCAATCTGGGGCTGTGCAGGAGTCAAACTAAATAGTACAGACTGCAGGCACAGTTAATAAAAAAAAAACCAAACAAACAAAAAACAAAAAACCAAACAACTGTAGAACAAACTCTGAAAATAAATATGCTCGTTTTCACGAAGCTAGATGTCTGAACCATGTTTCATGAACATATGCAGAGAAGCTCAGGGAAAGTCGATATAGGCCCAAGGAGCAATGCTGAAATATGTTAGAGCTACATAGGCATGATGTCCAAATGAAAACCACAATGTGATGTATTAAACTCCAGTTGGTCTTGAACAGAAGGCATTTATTAGTGTTGAAGCTTTTCTCCTATAGCTGTTAGAATTTGCCAAGATGCAAATGTTCTGCAGTTTTCAAATGGAAAATGGTCTGGTTTTCTAACAGTTTGCTTGCCAGACACCTCAGCTGTCCTGCTGCTGGGCTATCTCAGCCACCAATCCCAGCCTTTTGCTGCAAAGCAACCCTGGAGGCAGATGTCTCAGATCCAGCCTCCACATCCAATTTCCTTCTTTATTTATTTTTTCGTTCAAAAGCTGGATCTGAAATAGCATTTCAAAATATTGAAATCCTGCAGGAAACCAACTGACCTTTCTCCACGCTAGTCAGAAAACTGTGGGCAGGAAGAGAAGGCAGCAAACAGACTGTGTAGGGTTGAAGCTGCCGTCTCGAGGTCTTTGCTCACCAGGAGCAGTGACCTGTCTGAACGTCGCGTAACACGGGACAATATCTGATGGCAGAGGTACTGCAATTAGCTGCTTTAATAACCATGGCCTACTGAATATTTCTTCTGCTGTAGTGTCAGAGGGCTTTAACCACGGATTGAGAGTCTGGTGCTGTAGAAACTGCTTACACTCTTCTGCATGCGAGCTCTGCTCTGGTACAATATTGTTTTAAAGAACAAAACCTGAAAACTGTTAATCTGAACAATTCTGATTTTAAAGGAAGTTCAGGCTTGGCTCTGAACATTCATTTTGTGACTCAGGGCTGTTTGCCATAAGAAAGGATCACAGGAGCAGAGCATTCCTTGCCAGTCCTTGTTTTGAGCCGTCTGTGAAATCTTGGCAGTGTCTCCCAAGAACACTGTGTGGAAATAAAGCTTTGGTTTAACCTACTTGTGTGGGCTCCCTGCAGAGGTGATTGTCTGCCCAGCCAAATCTGCAACTCTAGCTCCCCAAACACCATCATCACATAGAAAGTACCGGAGGGAATAATCACAAGTAGTTATCCAAATAAGGTGCCAAAGTTTATTCATGGAGAGATGTCATCAAGGTTTCTCTGGTTGACAGCACCTGTCAGGATTGCAACACCGTCAGGACAAGAGGGAAATATGTCCCAACACTCACAAGGTCCAATCTGCAGGGTGACCCAGTGAACGCTGGTTCCCACACAATGGAGAGGAGGGATCAGCCTGAAAACCTTCTCCCTTCCTCTGCTGCTGTAGCTTTGTCCTAGGGAAGGATGCAGACTGTCCAGAACTTGTGTGTGTGGAGAGGGACAGGAGACATGAGAATAACAACCTCCTGACCAGGTGAGGTTTAGAAGACAAAAAGGTCTTCATTTAGGTGGGATGAACCTGGCTTGGTTGTACACTCAGACACTATTGTCCACACGTGCCCAGCCAGCAGAAGATGGGCAGGTGGAAAGGAGCTGAGTGGAGAATTTCCCGAGATGAGGAATCCTCCAGCTGTGGTGGGACAGTCGATTTCACATCCTGAGAGGTCTCCAACAAATCATTCCCCATATCTGGAACAACAGGAGGCCCTGAGCATTGACAGCAACCAACCTTGAATGGTGCTTCTGTGGACTTAGTAAAGGAAAAGCACAAACTGATGGTCCTCAGAAAGCAACGGAGATACCTACAGGATTAAATGACACGTGCCAGACACCCTTCCCTGTCACTGGATCCAGCTGACAAACTGTCTTCCCCCTTCAAACACCCAAACTACATGGTGTGGGAATATCCTTGACCCCAGACATGCCTTGAGCTTGTTTGGGGTGGTGCTTGTTGGCCTAGAGACCACCAGAGGTAACAATCAAACCGTCGAATCCGGCACCCAGGAACTGGTCACTGGTTCAGATGGAGTTAACGTGAGACAGAAAGGCAGAGAAGTACTGCCACAGTCACTGCACGATGTGATTTAAATGGTGGGTTTGGACACTATGGACATCACCTCCGTGTTGCTTTAAGGCTGCATGAGTCCAGGGACATGGTGTGCTTATCCCTGTGCATGGCTTCAAAACACAACCCGAGGAAAATACAAAATCAGAATAATAATCTATAGAAGGATTTGCACATCTGAAGGGCTACAAGGGCTGAAGGCTTTTTTTCCTGAAGGGGAAAGACTGTAGTTTCACTTGGAAATGCCGAGTGGAGAATGAAGGTGTTGAGATGAGAAGTTTCTCTGGTTCACTTCCCTCTAGCCACAGACAAACCCCATCAACACGAATCCAGCCCGAGACGTCACCTTTGCTGCCCTTCCCACTGTAATAGGTCATCCAAAGAGAAAAGGCTTGGAACACTGTGTTTAGGCAATACCTCTTACATTTATATAAGACACCTTTTGTAGGAGGTGTGGAGAGCTGCATGGCAAATCCCTCTGCTCTTCGCACCTACAAGGGGAAGTGAGAGGAAATATGATGCTGAACCCTTGCTGAATTGAAAATAAACCCCACCGAGGGGCTGAAGGAATGTATCTCCTCCAGGCTTTCATCCTTCCTCTCTCTGCCCTCCTGCTAACCCAGACTGGCATTGTGTAGGGAAAAGCACATCCATGCTGCGGGCAGTTATTTTTATGCTGTCCTGTATTTGCTGTAAGAACTGGTCCTGGAAAAACATTTTGCTCTTGATTTTGTACAGCTCACCCAGTTTCAGCAGAGTTTATTTATAGAGAGGAAAAGGACACATGAAGAGCTCACTGGTCTCTCCAAGCTGGAACAAATATTTAACTATACTCCTATCATTTTCATGCGGAATTATTTTAACTGAACTGAATTTTAACACAATCACAGCAAGGTGGAAAATCTTCAGCTTTGGAAAGACCAGTGACAGCCAGTGACAATAATTAACTACTCCTCCTCACATCTTTAACACTCAGATTCAAGGTACAATTCACATGGACGCATTTTCTGCCGTATATGTCAACGCATATGCATACGTGCGTACATAT